GTAGTTACAGTTGCGGGGAGGGGGGACCAGGCTTTGATTCCAAAACCCACATGGCAGTTCACAAGTGTCCACTCCCAGCGGATCCAATTCTGATCCTGGCCTCCTTTGGCACTGCTTACACATGGTACAGAAGAGAAATATATTCAGGGACACACTCATGCACATAAAATTTAAAAAATAAAGTATTTTAAAAAGTGCTTCTAAATAGGGGAAGTCCTACTTATGCAATTTAAATATACACTATCATCGGGCCCTCATCTAGTATCAGGGACTTTTAAGGCGTTCACGGATAGTATCTTACTTTAAAGCTTGTGCTTCTGAAGCCGTTATGTGATGGCTTGCCACCTAGGGATCTTGTTAAAAATCAGTTTGTGATCATGTGGATTTTGGACTGGAGCCTGGGATTCTGCATTTCTAAAGGTTCTTAATGATGGCACGACTTCTGCTCTATAGATCACACATTGAGGAACAGATACATCTGAAATGAAACATCAGATGTTTCAAGTGAGCCTTTGACAGCATCCAAGAACAGAGCAAGACTGACATCTCTCCAATATGTGTCTTAGATTCAGGCGTCGTTCTTGTTTTGTCTGAGGAGATTTAGACTGATTGGCAGCAGGGCTGATACTGGAGGATGGAGTTGTGAATAGAAAAAGAGCTTGCTTTATGTCCATTGCTGTTCCACTTAGGGTTGCTGGGGGAGGGAGAGACAACAAGCCTGAGGCTTTTTAAAGGAACTCAAGCTGGGAGGATGGATGAGAACATGTGCGTGCTCTATGAAAACTTGGCAGGATGCCCTTAAGGGGATTTCCTTAAACTGTCAGGAATTATGAGCGTTGGAGACCAGCCACCTTTCTCTAAGTTTCTTTGCACATCATTGTTTCTGCTGGTGAACCCACCCTAGCCTCTTTTCAGCCTCACTTCCGGTGGCTTACCCAGTCTCCTCTCTCTTAGCACCTGCCTGTTTCCTCTAAGTCTCAGCTTGTGCATGGGCCCATCTCTAACCACCTGACGTTACTGTCAGCATCAGCTGTGATTGCTGACAGCTTCACTTCTTTTACAATATGCATTTCAAATTGTCCAAAAGAGGAATCTGATAGCGTAGGATGCCTCACTGCACCGATAAGCCTAGGATTTCACTGCTGCTATCTGGAAATCCAATTACTGCTGATGTGGGGGGTAAGCCAGTGGTATCTGATGTCCAAAGAGATATAGCTAGCAAAGATTGCTATTTCATAGGGGCTGCGTGCCAGGACAGAGTGTGGTGTAGGGAAAGCATCTTGGAGCCTACTCCATTTGATTTGTCTCCTTAATGAAGGTCATCTCTGCACGGATGTGGTTCAGTCATAGCCTTCAGGCAGGACTCAGAAACATACCGTTTGTTTTATTGCTCTTTCGTCTCTTCATACTCAGAGACCAGCCTAATATGACTACGTTACAGGGTCACTGAAGTGAATCACTTCACTAATGAAATTGTTTAGAGCAAACCACCATAGACCTGCTTCTGCATCTTTGCCATGTCTTTATTTTAAGGCACCATAGGCAAAGGAGGTTGAAAAAATAAAGCCTAATTAATCCAAAGTACCAGCACAGTGTTAGGCACTCTGTGTTAAGAATACAAAAGAAGGCATCACGCTTGTTTTAGGAAAGAGCTGAAGGACAGGCAACCTCCTGTCACTTTCCACACTGGAAATGCTACTTCCTCCTCTGAGGATGTCTGAGTGTACCCTGAGGGTATCTCCTCAAAGGGCAAGCAAGTTCGCCTTCCTGAGTGCTCCAAACAGGAAGAGATGTTTGAGAAAGCAGATGCACAGAGAGAATCAGACCCAGCCCTTACCCTTAAGACTCACCCCTGCTTTGCTTCTGTACTGTTTGTTCAAGGGGTGGGGGAGAGGGGCACATTCTTTCTCCATATTCTTTCCCACATGCAGACTTTTAAGGAGAACTATTTTCAGTTTTTATTTGCTGATCAATAAACTCAAGGGTAGGTCTTGTCTGTTCCCAGAGATAAAGAACTGAGTGCGTAACTACTCTCTATCCAGCTGAACAAGCACCGAGCTTCTCTTTGTTTTTCACAGTGTTTCTCTGAGATAAGAAGAAACCACCCAGACATGATGCATGACCAAGCAAGGTTTTGAAAGAATATTTTATAAATTCATTCCTTATTTTGAACTTTGGGATGAGGAAAATGGGGGAGGGGCACCATACGCTGGACAAGCTGATTTTCTCCCCCCTTGGCTGCAAAACAAACAGGAGACCATGAAAACATGTTTAACAGAGGAGAGAATAAGACAGTGTTCAGTTATGAATATGAAGAGCAAATAGGAAAAAATTGTAGTAATTTAGTAATTCAGCTGAGTGCAGCCCTGAAAATTCAGTGGCCATTTTCTACCACACAGACACACACAAAAAATGTCTGTCATATGGACTCAGAATCAATACCAAGAAGACATGTAGATAGGGAAGAAGCAAGATTTGTTTCTAGGGAAACAGAGGATGGATAGAACCAGGATGGAATGCCATTAGGTCCAAACCCTCCAAGGATCTTACCAGGATGGAAGGGCTGACTTTAGGTTAATGATGCAAGACTTGTTTTCTTTTCAATTTATCTTCTCCATCTACTCCTCTCAGTCTCCCACCTCTCTTCCCTCCCATATCTACGTTTCCCTTCAGAAAGGAGCAGACCTCCCAGGGATATCACCGGAACACACCATAACAAGTTGCAATAGGACTAGGCTGTCAGGAGTTCCAGAAGAACACCAAACTATTAGAAACCATAACATATATGCAGAGGACCTAGCACAGACCTATATAGGCTCTGTGATTGCTGCTTCAGTCTCTGTGAGCCTCTATGAACCCTGATTAGTTGAGCTCTATGAATTCGAGGACACTCTGGTCTATATAGAGAGAGTTCTAGGACAACCAGGAATGCAGAAGAAACCCTGTCTTGAAGCCCCTTCCCCAGAGGAAATATGATGCAACCTTTAAGCAGTAAGATTCAGTGTAAAATCAGTTGCTCCAACTAAAGAGCAGAGACTGTTTTCATATGGAAGATGAATAGGGGTGGGATACATCTTACATAAATATAGAGTTGGAAAGTCATTTAGGGGAAATATGCTAAGGAAAGATCTGAGTGTGAGTGGATGTGGCAGTGGCGATCCATAGGAGGATGGGGTTTTCATCAGTAGGAATAATAGAGCGATACCATCAAGAGGCAAAGACAAACAGCCAATAAAAGGAAAAGTGAAGTTGAAAGCCATGATGTAATTGCTTCTGAGAAAGTGGAACTGAGGACGGTGTAAAAGCTTAGTGAGGCTGAATAGCAGCTTCTTCCCATCTCTAGGTTTGTGAGCTTTACTTGTTGTATCTGCCTCTTGTCTCTGTCAACAGATAGTACATTCCCTATAGGGCAAAATATATCCCATGCTCTCATGAATTTCCCCATGATATCCAGTGAAGGCCTTACTAGAAGAGTAACTCAATAAATGTTAATTGGTAAATTAATGAACAGTTTACTTTTTTCCCATTAAATATATTTTGAGGCTGGGCAAATCTTGAACGTGAGATTCTCCTGCCTCAGTGTCCCAAGTGCTTGAACTATAGGATGTGTGCCACCCTTAACAACACTTTTCTTTTGAAGTAATTGTTTTTCTAAATAAATCTTCGATTTGACAAACCAAGAAACCGGATTGTATTTTTCTTTCCTAGTATTAGGCAAAACAGAGGAAAGTTCTAGCTTCAATCGTCAGTGTATTATTTTAAATATAATTGGTCTAATTACAGATATAAAAAAATGAGACGTGTATGCCTTGGGAGAGACTCCAAAAATCAGTGAGCTTTTTTTCCTGATCCTAGACTCAATCAAGCTGGACTGTAGATATCTTTTTGCCAGGTCAACCTAACCACTTCTTTTCTATTCATATTTGCCATTTGAGAAGCTCAGTGTCCCCAGAGCAAATGCCATGTCAATCATGTCCACTGTCTTAGTGCCAGCACCTACAGTAAGCTTGCATGGAGCAGAGTATGAGCTTAAGAAATGATCCCAGAAAGAAGGCAAGGAGGGAGAAGGGGGTTAAGAGAGGAAGGACTCTATTTTATACTTCACATAGAACTTGCTTATCTGTTATCAAATTCCCCTCTTCCCCCAGTCTCAATTTCTGTGTTTGTCGTCAAGGATCCAAAATGATGAAATGTCACAATCTTTGCTCTCATCGGTCTGATAGTCTAGCACGATCCAGAACTAAGACAGCAGGAGGGCAAGTATTTCATCCTAACAGGAAGTCTGGTGACAGGGGATAAAAACCAAAGGGAGCATCCAGTTGGCCTCTGAGGGAACAGAGTGAGAACCAGAGGAGATTCTTAAGCAACTCCTCGATGCTTTGGAGGCTTGAGAACCTTTAAATCGTCCTCCCCAATCCTGAAACTTATTATAGACACTTTCAACAAAATGGGAAAGACTCCAAGCCCTTGCCTGTCAGCCTTTCTCTATTCAGAGGCCTTCTGACGTTTAAGTGATTTTTGACTTGGCACAATTGGACTTTGCTTTCATTCTGGGAATGCAAGTGGCTGCTCTGAATTTGTCATGGATATGTGGTTTTATAAGCACAGCCTAACCACCTCAAACTCAAGGCCTGCTGTCTGGGCCAGACCGGGAGTATATTCTGTATCAGGAGCAGTGGGTTTGTTAACACGATCCATCAGCCTCGCCATTTGTTCTTTCCTGGGCAAATTCTTGTCCCAGTGACAGAGATTAATGATAGAACATCAGCATGGTAGGCTTGGCATTTTATAACAACCTATCACAGCAAAGGTGCCTGTTGCAAGTGTTCTGAAGAGGGCAGATAAACTTAAATTAAAAGAAGGAGAAGCAGTTTCAAAATAAAGTTGTCTACATGTAGGAGAAGATTGTGGCAATATACTGTTGGCTTTTTTAATATTTGAGGGGACAGAGATAAAGGTCCTGCTTTGACATTGGCTTTTTGGTTTCTTTCTTTATTCAGGTATTGACACCAACACAAATTAAAGCAATATGCCAGGCAATTCTGGACTCTGGGAAGCAGTATGCTACGAAGAAGAGAAAACCATTTCCCCTGATGTATTCTTACTATGGAACGGAATACCTGGGTGAGTGGCACTCACTCTAGGCTGGAGAAAGTTTCTAATGGTAACACTGAGTCAAGAACAAGTGCTTTCAGTCTGGCCATAGGCCATCATTATTCAGGAACAAGAATGACTGTAACACATTTGAAAACAAAAAATTGAGATATAATTTAATATCATTTCATAACCTGAAGGACAGATGTATAAGTATTTTAATATTTATGTTCACTAAAGATTAAACCCTTTATTTACTTGAGATAGAAGTGTCAATACATTGCCTAAGATACCAGATATCGTGCCTCAGCCTCCCACAGAACTGTGACTATGCAGATATGTCACCATACAAAGCTTACTTAGCTCTGTTGACACACAGTGTGAACGGTTGTCACACTGAGTCTCAGTAATGCTTTTGTAAAGGGTAATAAGATTAATCCACTAAGGCTTTAGTGACAGCAGATTCATAACAGGCAACTGAACTACAATGAATAACTTTGTGCTCTGATTCATGTAAGGAAAAAAAAGAAAGGAAAAGGAAGGTTCCTCCCAGTTTACATCCTTAGACTCCCGAGCGAGATTTGTAAGGCCCTCTGCAAGCCACATTTAAACCGTGTCTCTCTCCTCTAGGTTCTGTCTAGTGTAGTTTGTCACATACAAAGCAACCTCTTCCCTTCAAGCCATTATTTGTGTTCCTTTTTGCCTAGAAAGTTTTCCTTCCCACAAGCCCTTTATCTGCTTTTAGTACGCGGTCTTTAAAACTCTGCTAAAATGGATATACGAAGACACTTTCTGTGTCTTGGGGAAAAGGTTATTGAAGCCTATCTTGAGAATCATTGACATGTTTCAGGTATTTTCCCCTGAGGCAAATAGGGTGACATCATGGCACCAGGCCCACACTGTTAATGAAGTCTTTACTGTATCTTATTATAATCTGTGACTCACTTGTACAACCGCCCTGTCAGGTTTTGTGTACATTCACGATGAGGATTCATTCATTTAGCTTCGTGATCCTTGGACCTTTGCCACAGAGCCTGCATTTAATGAGGGTACCCAAAGGAGGTGGTGAATGACTAATGAACAACACGAATGAGACTTTTCGCAAAGAAGTTGTGCATTCTTTCCTAAGTCTTTGAAGGACCGGACCCTGAAACAGGATTTGAATACAAAAATTCGTTGGACATGTAATCCTAGAAAGCATTGATGAGAAGGGGGTGGAGAAATGAGACAAGGAAGAGGAAGAATTGAATTTACTGTGAAGCAATGAGCAGTTCTGGATAACAGAGGCGCTGCATTAGACTTTTGAATCTTTTTTTCAGAACGAATGTGTACTGTAACAGCTTAAGGGCGGAAAGACTTTAAGGGACTTTTTTTTTTTGGCTTGTGGTTTCAGAAGGTCAATTCTGTTGTCACTTGGCTGCATTTATTCTGGACCCATAATAGGGAAGAACATTCTGGTAGCAGAAGCATACATGCAGAGGTTACTCCTCTCATGGTAGATAAGAGTCAAAGGGAGAGAAGGGCCTGAAGACCCTCAAAGATACCTATTTATCTTTGACTTATTTACCCCACATAGGCCCTATATTCTAGTTTCCTCAATCTCCCCAAATAACACCACTTACTGGAGAACAAGAATCCATTGAATAATCTGACAGGAAATATTTCATATTCAAACCAGAACAGGCTCAGTCCCACTGGGGATTCTTAGAGGCCATATGGGACATGTCTCAGAATTGCCTTACCCAAAGGCTGAGGAAATTCATGTATTTGTCTATGCATTCCCTACTCTATTGGCTGGCTGCTCCATGGGGTATTAATTCTGCCTTGTCTCTGTGTATTAAGCATGTTCTTGTGACCAGAAAAAAACTCAGGCAAAAGAATAAACATATAAAATTTGAAGTATGGAGCATAGGTACAAAGTGTGTCATGGTGCTAGCAGTGTCTTTAACATTCTTTTATTAATAGTTTTTTTTTTAAACAAAACCAAAAAAAGAGAAATTAACATCCTGGCCATTGATATAGGTATTACAAACCAAATTTCTGGTAAATGTGGAAATACTTTCCTGAAAACTGAAGCTTCCTTCTAAGACTAAATAGTGTGCATCATGTATAGTCTTAAGTTGTCTGTCATGCAATAAGTAAATATTTACATGAATGTTGTTTGTTTGTATAAATAATGAAGAACTAATACAGAAATTGGCTTAAAGGATTATAAGGCTCAAAAATCCAGATCTAAAAAGGTCAATGTTGTAAGTGCCAGGCTGAGTCCAAGTCCACAGGGAGAATTATTTCTTAGTGTTTTTATTCCAATCAGGCCTTCGCTGAATAGATGAGGGCTACCTACAACTAGCATGGGAAGTCTTCATTAATCAGTCGACAGATTCAGTGTTCATTGTCTCCAGAAGCACTCAAAAAGGCATACCTAGAAACAACATTTAAGAAAAGCTCTCGGCAGCATCTTGCCCATTTAAGTTGCTACATGTACTCACTCACCATGCTCTGGATACAGATCTGTTACAAAGCACTCCACTGTTTATGTTGTAATAGTTGTTTAGTTTTCTCAAATGTGGCTCACTTTCTGAACTGAATGGAGAGGTCTTTGAGCATATGTGCAAACTCAGAATCACCTTCCTATCTCTACGGTGAGATAATGTCCAAAACAGAAGTGATAATTTATTTAACGCTCACAGCTCTATTTGGTGTTTGTGGCCCATGTGGTTTCAGTTCTAAATACAAGTCTGCTGCATGACATGAAGGAAGCAGAGGACGATGTGCAAATGGAGGACTGTTAGCTATGTTCCAATAAAACTTTATTTGCAAAAGTCGTCAGTGAACCAGATTTGGGCTGCAAGATGTATTTGGCTGGTGATTTAGGTGTTTTTTTCTTTCTCTTTCTTTCTTTCTTTCTTTCTTTCTTTCTTTCTTTCTTTCTTTCT